TTGTGGCACAGTGGCCCGTGGAGCAGCCACGTGCTCAAGCACAGGCACAGCTCCGGGCTCTCCACCCTGCCCGGGGTGCACAGGCAGGTCAGGGCTGCACCAGCCACACTCACACATTCCCCCGGGGCTGTGCATCACATCTAATGTGCCTTCTTCAAGGGGAAAACGTGTCATTTACGGTACATTTAAAATTAATGCGCATTTGGTGTCCTCTCTGCTCCCAGATTACCCACCTCGGGAGTGCTGCAGGGCAGAGCTGAGCCCGGCCCCGCCAGGACGGCATCGCTGCTGCACCTCCCTGCCCCACACATCCCCAGGGACAAATCCCCAAAAAGAAGTGCTTCCAGCAGCATCCTTGGTGTTTGTACCTCACCAGTACCAACTCCTGCCAGTGCCAGGGGTGTCTGTGCCCCCCAGGAGGGCTTGGGCTCAGCACAGTCTGTCTGGAGGCCACGATGGATCCTCTGGATAAACCTCTGCATTTCCAGGGCTGGACTCCCTGGAGCTGCTTCCTGATGGGAAATGCGTTCCTGTCCACAACCCTTGATGGTGTGAGGTTTAATTAAAAGCCATCCCTGCTGGTGCTGGTGAGTGGTGATGGTGGTTCTGCCCCTGAAAATGCCACATTTGTGCAGGGCACAGGTGCCTTCCCAGCACTCAGAACACTGCTCAGGCTGCTCCTGCCTCCTGCAAGGGACCTCCAGGAACAACCTTGGCCCATACTTATTTAGATGTATTATGATGTCTTCTAAAGCCAGGATGGATGAGTTAATACAGCTTTGGTTTTGCTTTCACTTATTATTTTTTTAAAACAACAGGCAAATGCTTTCATTGCCTTCTTTTTTTTTTTTTTTTGCTGGTGCCACAGTTTCCCCACAACCCTTGATATCAGTAAGGGAGGGGATCTGGCAGTGCTGACTTGCCCAGCATGGATGTCCCCAGGCTGCAGGAAGCTGGACACAACAGCATTCCCAGCTTCCACTCCCAGTGTCCCCAGGCAGCTGGGCTCTATCCCTGTTTCCCAAAGCAGCTCCCAAGAGTGGGATGCAGGTGCAAGTGTGGATGCTCTGCCAGCTCCTTTCAGCACTGTTTATACCAAAGCCCAAATTAAGGCCACTGGGATAAAGGGGGTCAAACCCTCTGTGACCTGAGGAATGGACACAGGCAAGGAGTGTGAACACAAACCCCACCAATCCCACTGGGAATGGAAACAGCCATCGGCCAGGAAGGGATATTTATGGGAGTCAGTGGCAGCAAAAGCCACATCCCGAAATCCATTCATCAAACAAACAACACCTTCCCAACCCCAGTGCCTCCTGCCCTGGTCCCACAGTGAAACCTTGTGCCCTGGGACCTGTTTTGGAAGGGCCCTCGGGATTGTGGGCACCAGTGGGTGCCAGTGTGGGCACACGGAGCCCTGGAGGGAGAGGAGAATATTTCCTGTATATTCCTTGTTTGCTGATTTTCCTACCAGCTCCTACAGCACCAATAAATGAAACCCACAGCCAACCCCCCACCTCCTGACAGCTCAAACACAGCCCTGGGGTGGCACTCGGGGAAAGTCACTCCTGGGGGAGGTCAGGGAGCACCAGTAAATGAGAGGGGATTAATTTTGGAATGACACACAGGGGAATGATGTCTGCCAGGGAAGGAGCATCGCAGGGGGCACCAGAGCTGGAGCAGAGCCCGGAGGGGCTGCACAGACACGACCCCACACAGAGCCAGAAATGTGAGAAGGAGCAGCAGGAGCTGTCACCAACAGCTGGGCACGAGCCAGAGCCCCACTCCATGAGATCAAAGCTCTCCCCCTGCCCGGGCAGGGCTTCCTGGGGGTTTTGAACAGGTGCTTCCAGCTGCCACATGTTTGTTCTTCATCCCAAACCCCACTGGAACTTCTCTGGGAGCTCCACAGCTTGTGTGGCTGCGCTGATCAAGTCACTCAGTGAGTTTGTTCCTCGCACTGAGCTGTCTGCAGAAGGTCACCCTGTGGGGACAGGAGTGTCACTGCCACTGGCTGCAGGAGAGCCAGGCTATGTGTCCCCTCTCCAGGCTGGAGTTGGAGTCCTGCAAACCATCTTCCTCCCCCCTCCACAGCATCCCCTCTCCAGTGGGGACCTGGTTCCCAAATCCCTCCTCAGGGCAGGTCTGTCCCCCCATGACAGATCCCTTGAGCAGCACAGGCTGTGCTGGGGGTGTTTCTCACCCCAGTGCCCACACCAGCTGCCTGGGGGGCTCAGCCCAGGCCCTGCAGCAGGATGGGGGCTGGATCCATCTGCTGCAAATCCATCTGGGACGTGTTTCTGAAAGCTCAGTCGAGGCTTCACCCCCAGCAATGAGCAACCACCAGACGTGTCAGCAATAGGTGTGAGGGGAACATTCCCACTGCAGCTACTGCTCATGGCCACAGCTCCTCAGGACATTGCTCTGATCCTGCTGCCTCAGGGCTGGCCTTGCCTGGCATCAGGTTTGTCGTGGGAACAAGCTCCATGTCCTCTTCACCTGTGCTGAAGCCTTCAGGCCTCAGCAGCTGTTTTGTCTCCTCCAGCAAAGCCAAATTCATCCAGCTTCTGGTCACACTTCACCCTTTTGGGGATGTCACACAGCTGTGAAGAAACTGCAGAGTGGGTTCCAGCCAAGGTCAGCACCTGGCCTGGCAGGATGGTGACCTGGGCCAGGAGAGCTGGGACTGGGCTCTTCCAACCCCCCTCCTCTTGCTGCATTTCCAGCAAAGCCACAATGGGACCCTCACTGCAGAGCCTGGGGACAAAGGGGTGACACAGCACCCACTCCTTAGCACAGGGCTGGTGTCCAAGCAGGCAGGGGCTGATTAAACCCTCCAGATGTGGAATTGCTCAGATGATCCCTTGGGTGCCCCCGGGTGTAAGAGCAGCACGGAGCTGACCCACCGTGGGGACACTGCCTTGCCTGGCCAGGCAGCTGGGCAGGACACAGCCAGCAGCAAAGCAAGGTGGAAAAACAATTTGGCTTTTAGATTTGTACCATTACTGGTTTACATTCCTGGGCACGGAAGAACAGGTTGGTTTAATGTCCAGGGCTCAGCTATGGAGGAAAGACGTGATCAATTATTCAGAAGAGACTTTCAGTCTCACATCAGAGGTTTGTCTTCTGTCTTCATACATCTCAACTAAGTGCCATTTCCCTGTGGCACAGGGCATAATGCAAATGGAGAGGCTCTAATTAGCATGCCCAGGAGCCCAGTATTTGTTTTCTGCTACTCCTTCAACGAGCCCAGCAGCTCCCAGCCAGGCTCCAGGAGCACCCCTGGCTGCCAGGAGGTTTGGAGTGAAACAACACAGCTTGGAAATGAATTACTGGTTTAAACTGAGGGGAAGAGCTCTCCTGGAGCAAGGCAGTTTGGTTCAGGCTGGCAGACCCCTCATCCTTCTGGCCCATAACCCGTGGAGCCCATCCTGCCCCAGGTTGGGGGATGCCCTGGGCAGCCAGGCACAGGGAACACGGGGAATCGGCCACTTTGTCACTTTGTCACAGCACAGGTGTGTGACAAAGTCTCTCCATCGACAGCAGGTTTGATTCAACCTCTGCTGAAGGCACTTTTGGTTTTAACTGTATCCTCAGGAGGCAGATGGCCCAGGATGGGCTCAGTGAGGGCAGCCAGAGGAGCTCAGTCATCTCTGGAGTTAGTCTGTGCTCCAGACCCATTCACCATTTTCCAGGGAAAGGTTCCTGGACTGTAACCTCCTTTAAATAGAGATATTGAAGGACCTCACATCTGGTTTTGTCAGAAAACAAAGCTCTGAACTGTGCTGCTGTTGCTGCACGAGGTGTTTGCCCAGCACCTCCCCCCAGGAACCAGCCCAGCAGAAATTCAATCTCTCCAGCTCCACAGGCAGCCTGTGCCTCCACAGAAGCCCCTGGCTGTTCTGCCTCCTCTTCTGAAGCCACTTTTAAGTTTTCTTTGTGAGAATTAATTCTTTGCAATAGCAGGGAACAGCCTCCAGCAACTGCAACATACTCTGTACAACCAAAATCTGCATCAGAGACCTGGATGATCCTTGCAGGGAAGGTTTCCAACTGCTTCCATTGCTTCTGGATGGGCCAGGGGCCAGCCAGAGGTGCAGCCAGGCTGGGTAGTGTCACTGAGGAGGGGGCTGGAGTCCCTCTGGGAACAAAACACTCACCTGGGACTCTGACACTTGAAAATACCATTTTGTTTGAGAGGAACTGCTCCCTGGGCACAGGCTGCACATTCATGGACATGCTTCATCCCTGGAAGTGTCCAAGGCCAGGTTGGACAGGGCTTGGAGCAACCTGGGCTAGTGGAAGGTGTCCCTGCCCATGGCAGGGGGTGGAACTGGATGATCTTTAAGGTCCTTTCCAAACCAAACCAGTCTGGGATTCTGACAGAGCAAAACATGATGAAGGGTGGGTAGAGAAGGAGAAGCCTGTGCCAGGAAAAGAGAGAAGGTTAAATGCAGAGAACAGGTCACAATTCTCAGCATTTACAACCACCACAGTCCTTGGTGGTGCCACCAGACACGTTTCTGGTCTCAAGGTGCTGCCCAGCCCTGGTCATGCCTGGAGGCATCGCCGGCAGCTCACACTGACATCAGAGAGCTCAGGGAAGGAGGCAGCTTTGAGGAGTGCCTTCAGTGCTCTGGTTGGATGACAAATCCCTTCAAGGCAACAGCACCTAGAGCTTGTGCTGAGCAGGAGTTTACATAAAGCAGGAATCAGCTTGGATATCCAGCCAAGTGCAGCTACTGGCAACGACAGATGTGAGACAGGCAGAGCAAGCACCAGGGGATGTCTGAACAGGGTCCAAATGCCACCAACTGCTCCAGCCCTGGGGACAGAGCACTGGAGATTTCTTCCCAGCACTTGACAATACCTGGAGTGACTCCTGCTGGGGGGAGGAACTGGAAACCATGCACATTTCTTTGATATAGCAAAGAAAAGTTTGGCTCTTACTTGCTGACAACTTTCTCATTTAGGACCCAAGACAAAGAACCACAGAGACATTTCAATCCAGCAAAACAACTTTATTTCACAGGGCAAATACAGCCAAGTGGTGATTCCAGAGTTGCCCAGAAGTGTCAGCTCCATGATCCCTCAGTAAATGTTCTGCCGGTGACTCGAGGATGCAGCTCCGTGGCCACCCCTCACAATCATTTCTTAGGTTTAGATTTCAAGTGAAAATACATTCAGATTTGCTCCTGTCAGAGCACTGCTCACGAGTACGTGGTTGGCAGTCACTGAGGAGTTAATTACAGAGTTACCTGATTGGTATGAAAAGAAAGCAACGCTTCGACCCACGAACCCCTCCCTTCTGCAGTGCTGCTGCTCGGGCCGGCACACGGAGGGGACACACCCCGGCCTTCCTGGGGCCTCCGCAGGAAAAACAGCAACTAAAACACAGCAGCAAAAACCAAGGCAGCTTTGAACTGCCCCTCTGCCCCCCTGCCAGCCTCAGGGATCAATAACCTGCTCCTGACACCCGTAGGAAGGAGATGCCCAGGGCAGAGCTCCAAAGGCTGTGCTTTGTGCCAGCAGCTGAGCCCGGCCCTGGCTGGGGAAGGCTGAGCTCTTGTTTCGTTTCATGTAGGCGTTGTTTTGGTTTTGTGAAGTATTAAATAAATAAATACAGCTGCTGTAGGCTGGGGTGCAGCTCTGAGCCTCCCGCGCTCTATCCCGGCTCCCCCGTGCTGCTCGCCTGGCCCTCCGTGCTGGGCACAGTCCTGCGCTTCCTCAGCTGCACGTCTTCATCCTGAGGGAAAAGAGGGAAAGAAAGCACAAATTAACCCTTCAGCATCCTCTCTGAGCCAGATAAAATCCGTCCTCTTCCCCTCCACCAGCTCAGATAAACCCAGCAAACAAAACCATCATTCCAGCTCCTCACTCGGAACACTGGAGCCTTTTTACACCCTCACGTGGGCACTTTCCCAAACCATCCATGTGCTGCCACTGAGAAGCTGTTTGTGCCCAGCAGGACAGGCAGCTTCACCTTTCAAACCCTCTGGCCACAGTCAGAGCAGCAGGGATGTGGCCTGGCTGAGCTCTGCTGCTCGGGCTGGGGGTCACACCTGCTCTCACAGTGCAGGTTTGCCTTGGGATGGACCTGCTGTCCCACAGAATCAAACCACAGTGGCTGGAAGGGACCCCTGGAGGGTACAATCCACCTGTCTGCTCTAAGCAGGGCTCACTCTGGTGCTGCCAGGGTTCTTCAGGGCATCAATTTGCTTTTCATGCATCTACAAGGATGGGTTTTCCACCTTCTCCCTGCACAGTCCTTGGTGAGTCTCAGCTGTGTGTACAGGGCAGGATTTCCCAAAGCCAGGGAGGGTTTCCTTTAGCAGGTTGTGCCTGTCACCTCTTGGCTTTTTGCTGGGCATCTCTTCTTCTTCCATGACCTCCTCCATACCCACCCTCAGGCAGCTCCAGACAGCTGGCAGATCCTCCCTCAGCTCCTCTCTCCCAGCTGCAGGAAGCAGCTCCCTCAGCCTCTCCAGCCCTGACTCACCTCAAGAGCAAACCCACAGAGCTGCAGGGCCAGGATTTAACTGTGGGCAGGTTTTGCCACAGGCAGCACCACTGTGGCACCACTGGCCCGAGCAGGGCGAGCATGTGCCACTCAGTGTCTGTACTAACAACAAGCAAACTCATTTCTGCACAGTCCTGCCAGCCAGTCCCTCCCAGGTGCTTCTCTCAGCATCCTTCCCAACACCTCCACCTCACACTGTTCCCCCAGGGCTCAGCAATGACCAGGCACTCCCTGTTTCCAGGGCAGCTCGTACCGAGTCAGAGTCCTCTTCAGCCTGGTTGCTTATGAAATCCAGATAATCATCCTTCTGGTTGTCCAGGATTTCTTCCTCATACTCAGTCTGGTAGTCTGACTCGTCTAAAGAGAGAGGAGAGAAAAAGAACTGGGTTTAACTGGCAGGCAGAGAAAACTGGGAGAGGAACCCTTGCCTCCCCTGAGCCCCAGGGCAGGTGAGTGCCAGAAAACTGGCAGCTCAGTGAACTGGGACTGCTCAAACACAGAGCTCAGCTCTCCAGCCACAAAAATAAACCATGTCCTCTGTGTGAATTGGTGTCCCAGAGCCCCCCAGAATCCAAGGGACCCCCAGCAAAAGCAGCACCTGGTCCATGTCATTCTGGTGGGCACTGGCTGTGGAACACAAGGGCAGTGGGGAGGTGCTCCCTGCTGAGTGCCCCTCACAGCTCAGCTGCTGTGTCCCACCCCTCAGTCCAGCCAGACCTGGCAACACCTTCAGAAGCCTTTGAGCTGCCAGTCCAAGCTCCCCTGGACACACACACTGTCTGCAAGCAGGGGTCCCAGGCACAGGGGGAGCAGAATAATTACGTGCTGCAGAATTCCTGGGGCAGAATAATTACATGTCTGTCACAGTCACAATTTCACAATCCCACAGGGGACAGTAACATTTACACTCCCTTCCTCCAGCAGATTCACATAACTTAGGGAAGCTCAGGAGCTGTGCACAGCAGCAGGACACACCACCAAGCCACTTCCAAGGAAGGAGACACATCAGGGCAGAGCCAATGCCTTTCCCAGCACCTGGAGATCACCAGGAGGGTCTGTAAAAGAGGTAGCAGGAGCAGTACCCCACAAGGGCATGGAGTGACAGGACAAGGGAGAATGGCCTTAAGATGAAGGAGGGCAGGGTTAGATGGGATATTGGGGAGAAATCCTTCCCTGCCAGGGTGGGGAGGCCCTGGCACAGGTTGCCCAGAGAAGCTGTGGCTGCCCCATCCCTGGAAGTGTCCAAGGCCAGGTTGGAGCAAGCTGTGCTAGTGGAAGGTGTCCCTGCCCCTGGCAGGGGGTGGGAGTGAGATGAGCTTTAAGGTCCCTCCCAGCCCAAACCAGGCTGTGGTTCTGTGACTCTCCCTGCTGGCAGGGCTGACTCCCCACAGCAACTCAACACTCAGTGAACGTGCTGGGCTGGGGCCCATCGGTGGCTCCAGGTTCACCCCCCAGCACACCAGCAGCCCCTGCAGAGCCTGTCCCACCACAGGTGACACCAGGAGACATGTGGGCAGCAGGGCAGAACCCCTGGCAGGCAGCACCTTCCTCCTCTGGCCACCAGTTCTTCAGAATGCGAGTCAAGGCATGGAAATGCCATTTTAAGGTTAGCACTGAAATCACTGTGTGACACCAGTGCTTCCACCCCTTTCCTCAGTTAATTCCAGTGTGCTCTGAGCTGCTGAAGCAATACCTGGGTTTCGGCCCACTGGTGAGGAAAGTGGCTCATGTTTAAACTGGATCCTTGATTAAGTCTTTCTCCAGGGAGCTGTCAATAGCATCTGCTCCACGCTGAAGACAACAGCACAGTCTGTTCCACAGCCTTTTCTCCCAACATGGTAACTACAACCAACTGCTAGAACATTGGGATTAAAGGCATTTGGTCTTTTGTATTTTATTTTTAATGCTTTTTTTACTGTGGATCAGAGAATCTTTGTTAGTTTCTGTGAAAACCACTAATGATAATCTTTGATAAAACACCCCAGAGAAACTGGTGTGAACAGCAACAGACACAACAAACAAGAGTTTGGAGTTGACGCCTCCGATAAATCCGACTGCCATCAAAACCAGACTCCTTGATTTCCCCAGCACTACTCAGCATTTAACGGGTCTTTCTACAGATATGAAAGCCAAGAGAGGGGTGTCCCTTCTCACATCCTTCACAAAGCACCTCTGGGTGCTGGAGGTGGCCCTGCTGTCCCCAGACATCACCTTCCATGGCCCTGCTTGAGGCTGAGGCTCACAGTGACCACTCCTGGGCACTACAAAAACTCCCAGAAGCATCAAGCAGGACTGAGGCCTTGCTGCTCTGCTCAACTCACCAACACCCAAACAGCTCAAAATCGAGCCAGCCAAGAGGAGGTTCCACCATGGAAAGGTACCTGAGCCTGCCCTGAGCAGGGGGAGCATATTCCCTGCAGGAAGGGCACGTTTCCACACCCAGAGAGCTGCTTTGTGCTTCTGTAGCTGGTGGCATTTCTTTTATATGGGCCTAATTTCTGCAGGCAACCCCCAACCTGAAGGCAAACGGGGCTGTGTGGCTGGAGGGGCTCTGTAAACCCTGGATGTAAATCAGGAACCTGGGAGCTCAGCACAGCCTCAGGGGCACTAGTGCCTGATAATTGTGTCCCTGCAGAGGTTTTGGGATGTCTCCTGCTTCAACCTTATTGCAAACCCAGGCATTTGACACCACCATTAACACTTCTCTTTCATAAATCCTTTTCTCCAAACGCCCATTGCTACAAGTGCTTGATGTCCTTCAGCCAACCCTGGGCCTCAGCAACCCCTCCCAGGTGGGAATGTGACCAGGGATGTGACAGAGCCACCCTTGGGATGGCACCTGTGCTCCCCTGGCCACAGCCAGGGCTGTGAGAAACACAATTAGAGCTGAGCAGAGGGACGATCCCAGCTGGGGGAGCGTGTGGATGGAGAACAGGAACAGGGGCACAAACACTGCAGTGGCTCAGCTGTGAAAGCAGCTTCTGTTGTGCTTACAGACAGCTGTGCCCTGGCTGTTGGGTACTTGGGTCCCTCTGCTCAGGGGAGGGACAGCCTGAGGGACAGGCTCCCCTTTTTAATTTTTAGATGGTTTTAGTTATTGCTCTCAGTTTGTTCAAGAGTGGAGATGAAACTCCACTGCCCTTTTCCCCCAAAGACAACACCCCTGCCCCTCCAGGCCTCTCACCCTCTGTGCTGACCCTGCCCTGTCCATCAGAACATGAGCCTTTCTCTTTGATTTCTTTAGAACAAATTATTGACACAATTCCTCCACCCAGCCTAACACCTGCAGTGTGCTGTCAGAACAGGCAGAGCCTGTGGTCTGAGACTGCCCTCAGGAAGGGATTTCCAAGGGGAACAAAGCTTTCCCCTGCTCTGACAGTGCAGTTTCACAGCCCCCCCGTCCCCTCACCCACGGGGGCCACAAACTGTCAGACCACCTTCCCCACCACCCCTGAGCAGACCAAAGGCTGACCAGCACACACAGGGAGCCACCTGACAGCCACCAGGCCACTGCCAGGGAGGTGTCACCCTCCATCTGCTTCCCCCGTGGCTCCAGGGACCTCTTGAGCAAAGCAATGCCATCCTGGAGGCACTGTGTGCTCAGGGGAATGTCACTACAGCCTCTGCCACCCAAAATCGTGAGTCACCCACAGTGTGACACAAAGGATCCTTCATGACACAGTGCCCACAGGAACGACTCTCCTGCCGCCCTCTCCCTCCTCTGGACTCTCCACAGCCAACTGATTTCAGCATCCACGAGGAACATGTGGCACCTGCCCATCCCACCCTGTCCCTGGCAGCCCCTGCACAGCCCCTCCTCAGCCCAAAATGTGCCCCATCTGCTTTCTGAGACACATCCCTTTGCTCCCCTGGTGTCCATGGCCTCGCCCAGCAGAAAGCAGGATGTCCTAATGTGGGGAATAATCAGGAACTATCTAAAGCAGGAGGATCTGTCCCAGTGCACTGGTTAAATCTTAGCAGGTCTCAGTGCCTGAGCCTTAAATAACCACATTCCATGATCTCTTCACTCTTATTCACAATGTCTGCTTCAACCACATTTGATTAATATTTTCTTCATAAGGCATATGATTGTAATTAGCATTTCAAATTACCACAGGGACATCTCTACAAACAGTCACAGATGGGAGCACTGCTAACTTTAGCTTTCCCTCTGCAGGAATGAGAATCAGGAGGAGGGGAAGAGACTGTTCAGAAAGAGCTCCAGCCCTGGTGACACTCTCAGGGGTTTCAGGCCTGCAAAGCTCTGCTCCTTTTGGTTACAGGAGCTCCATTTATGGCATAAACATGGAGCTGCTCTGCAGGGCAGGGCTGTCACAGGGCACTGTCTGGTGCAGGAGCTGCTACCTGCTCCTCATTAGTTCACTGGTGCTCCCAGAACAGGAGCACACAAAAAGCAGTGGAGCCAGTGAGTCACTCCTGATCCTACTCACGACAGCAAGGAAAACATCCTTTGGGAAGAGCTTTAACCCAGGCAGAGCTTTAACTCAGGCAGAGCTTTAACCCAGGTAAAGCTTTAACCCAGGCAAAGCTTTAACCCAGGCAGAGCTTTAACTCAGGCAGAGCTTTAACCCAGGCAGAGCTTTAACTCAGGCAGAGCTTTAACCCAGGCAGAGCTTTAACCCAGGCAAAGCTTTAACTCAGGCAGAGCTTTAACCCAGGCAGAGCTTTAACTCAGGCAGAGCTTTAACCCAGGTAAAGCTTTAACCCAGGCAGAGCTTTAACCCAACTCAGCCTTCCTCCCACCTCCAGAGGGCACAGACCGAAGGGCGAAGCCACAGCAAGGACAGGCCCAGCCCAAGGGGGACATAAACCCATCTCTGCCTGAGTTGCTACACGTTATTTCACTCAGATGAGACCTGAGCAGGGATTACTCCCACCAGGAAACCAGGCTGGAGCACACCAGTAATGGGATGACAGCTGATATCTTCCCATGGAAGGACATCTCACTGCTGGCTCCTCCCAGGGGAGGCAGTGGGAGGGGGACAGGGAGGGTCTGGACTGGGCACAGCTGCAGGAGGGGCTCTGAGGGAAGCAGGGCCAGCCCACCACGGCCAGCAGTGCCCAGCAGGGCCAGCCCACATGGCCAGCAGTGCCCAGCAGTCACTGGCACTGGCAGCCAGCCCTGAGCTGTCCCAGCTCAGAGCATGAGCAGGTGAAAGCAGTCAGGAGGCACAGGAGGAGTCAGCAGCCGTCCATCCCTCCTCCCTGCCCTTCCCAACACTTCCACAGCACCAGCAGATCCCCCCACTCACCGTCTGCCACAGGGGCCTTCACGGGCTCGATCCGGGACACGATCTCTGCCAGGTCTGTGAAGGAGGTGGTGGGACAGGTCAGGTTCTGAAACACAGAGAAGTTTTGGGTGTGTTAACAAAGACACACAGCAAAATCCAAACAAGTCAGGACTGTATAAAAATGATATTGAACAGACAAAGCCCCAGACACATAAATTCTCCACAACTGCCCCCTCAAAAACCATTACTCATCAGTGAGAAATCCTCAGAACAGCTCTCCTGATGCAGGTCTGGTGGCAGAGATGGGATTCCCAAGTGCCAACGACGCTCTAATGGCTCCTATTCCACCCATGCAACCAGAGGCCTCATTAAAAATTTAGCAAACTGTAGAAAAGACCCCAGAGACAAGAACCTGAGGGTCTGGGCCCAGGACAGATGATGTTCACGTCACTTGTTTGTCCTCCATCACTGTCACTTTATAAGGACTGTCTGGGCCAAGTGCATCCCCCAGGGAGGTTTTGCTCTCCCTTGGGAGAAGGAGCCCCAGTGCCCAGGTGGGACACACACATGGTCCAGCCCTCAGCTGGAGTGGTGCCACGAAGGCTGCAGGGACAGCTGGGCACTGGGGTCACCAGAACCCCCCCTGGGGACCCCATAAGCCACAGAGCTGGAGGTGCTGCAGTAAGAGCCTGAGGTACATGCAGAGAGACACATTTCCCACTGTAATTCCTCTTTCCAATAAACCCTTTCTGTTTTCACTCTGTCTCACCCAAGCAGTGGGCAGAGCGTTCTCTATTTTGAGAAGTCCCTGCTCTGAGAGGAACTTTGGAATTTAAGAACTGTTTTGCTTTTCCTGTGTGCCATGAGTGGCCCCACTTGCTCCTCAGGACCAGGCACAAGGTCACCAGTGGACACCTGAACACCTCTCCCCTTTCTTTAAACCCAGGGATTATAATAAGTACATCAGCCCCTACCCCAGAGGAAAGGGATGGGGAAGAGCTGGCAGAGGGAACGTTACTGGCACTGGGAATTGCTGTGGCTGTCATCCTTCCAAACACCCAGACCTGCCCACGTGCTTCCAGGAAGGGCAGTTTTCTAACACAGGGTTTTATGAACAATTCTTTGCTCTTCTGGCAAGAGCACGAATCCTATGAATCATACAACCCCTGTGGGGTCACAGCAGCAGCCCATTACTGCTGCAGCAGAGCTCTCTCAGTTGACCTTTCATCTGTGACTGACTTTTGATGTAATTTAGAGCAGCTCCAGCAGCTCCAGCAGCTCCTGTGTGGATCCAGGACAAACAGCTGGTGGGCAACGGTGGGCAGAGAAAAGCCCACAGGGAATGAAAAGGTACCTGCATGAAATGGAACAGCAGCAGCTTAGGACACACTTCCAAACACAGAGAGGTTGGGGAGCTCAGTGTGACCGTTGAGGAGCCGCCAGGAAGGTGAGTCAGCCCAGGCTCACTTTGAACATCCAACCTGAATGGTCCCAGGGAAGCATTTGCAGAAGGCTCTTTCCCAGGACAGGGGAGAAAAGCTCCTACATCTTCAGTCTGTGCCCTATGACTAAATGATTCTGTGAGTGAGGGACAGGGGCACTCTCTGGCCACCACACAAACCCAGCGATGTCCGAGGCCATCCCTGGACTCTCAGATCCAAGGTGGTTGCACAGAGCACTTGGGCAGCGTGTCCCTGGAGCAGGGGGCAGACAGGGACTGGCTCTGGATGGGACAAAAGTCCAGGGCACGTTATGAACAGCTGAACAAAATCCTGTAGGAACATCACCAAAAGGTGCCTCAGTAAAACCAGCAGCAGCTCCTGAGGTGAGGACTGACAGGAATGAAGTGTGGCCAAACCCACGGGAGCATCTGTCCCTGTCACTGACCCACAGATGGTCCCAAGGTCGGCCTGTTAGAGGACACTTGGGGAGGCAGCTGCACCCAAACCTCAGCACTAGGACTGGAAAACCACTTGTGGGAACCAGGTGTCTTCCCACACTCGTCTGATGCTTTACAAACAGGAATGTAATTTTTAAGTGCTTCCTCTCACTACTTCTAAGGACGAACCCACTCTCCCATCAGATAGCACAAAGCAAATAAGTGTCTCAGATCCACCTGAAATCTACTCTACTCCCAAACTTTTCTGATATTTCTTTTTTTCCAAGGAGGAAAGTATGCTTTTTGGCTCAGTCTTTAGGAAATAAATTAGAGGAGAAAGACAGTTACTATTGTAGTCCGCTGGATTATATTTAGCTTTGACTATGAATAACACCTCAGTAGACAAAACTTCCCCAAGGAGATCCAATTAATGGCACTGCAATATTCTGTGCTGGGGAAGAGTAAGGGCTGCTCAAAGTGAGGTTTATATAAGGTTCCTGTTGTTTATGTCTTCAGTATTTGCATTTTGGAGACAAGATAAACAGGGGCTGAATGATCAAAGCAAAGGAGAAGTATCTAAGTGATTAAATATCTGGATTTTTAACTAAAAATTCGATGCTCACGACACGGAAACAAGACGATAAGAAATGGCACTTGGCTCTCAGATGTTGAACACTCCAGAAATAGATGAAGAGCTAAAACACATAAAGCATCAAAACCTTTGCTAATCAAAGGCAAGTTAAAAATATCAGCTGTTATCCCTGGAAGATAACAGAGCTAAAGGACTTAAGTGACTCTAATGGACTAAGAAAAGCAAGACAAACACCCCTGTGGGAGCTGCAATACCTGTTACTTTGTAGAAATAAATCTACCGGAATAAAAGTCAGATGAAAAAAAGTCTTGGTTTTTACTGGACTTTGAGGACAAGCAGATGATCCCTCAGGTCCCTGGACTGGAGTCCCAGCTCCTGCCCCATGACCCGGGGGGTTGGTGAGTCACTCTCCTGCCCTGTTATTTCCATACTCATCTTCTCAGCACTTTCTGCCTCATTATCAAGTGCAGTGACAGGCTGTGTCTGCACCCAGGAGGTGACATATCTGATCTCCAGGGTAGTGAAGTGCCACAAAAACCAGGGTAGATGTGCTAAATGTTCAACCTGCTGCTGCCTGCACAGCTCTGACACCACGATTCAGCTGAAATATTCCCCTCAATTACTGTATCCCATCTAAAGGGCAATTTTAAAAGCAGTCTTCTTTTCAAAAAGCGTTTGTTACAGCAATGAATATGTTTGAGCTTGTTACTAATTGTGATAAAAGTGAGGCTGAAGTAGGACACAGCTATTTCTGAGACACACACAATTTTCCCTGCCTTGACTTCTCCTTAATTAACACACAAACCCAAACCAGCCCATCCCATCTGATCATGAGGTGTCAGAGGCAGATTGGGGGCCCATCTCCTGCAGCTCACATGAATGCACCTCCTCACCCAGGTTATCTTCTGTCCTGGTTTGGGAATGGTATTCATCTTCCCAGCAAGAAATGACAAGCTGAGGAGTTTTGGGGCTCCTCAGGCTACGTGGATCACCGGATACATTCCCCAAACTGTCCCTGGGTGCTCCTCCCAGAGCTGCTCACCCTGCCAGGCAGCTCGGGCAGGATTCATCTGAGGCTGGGGAGTCACCAGTGCGAGTCCCCTCACAGGACCAGAGCTGAGGGCACCTTTCATCTCCTCCCAGCACTTCCATTTCCATTCCCTCAGTGACTCACAGCCCCAGCTCTCCCCTCTGCTGGCACACGGGCTCTGAGGGCACCACTGTGGGCATCAGCCCCCCCCAGCTCTGGGCCCATGTCCACCCCTGCCCTTCCTCTCACACCTCCCTCTGAGCCAAAGTGCTCTACCACCCACCTCTGGAGAGCTGCAAATCCTCTCTGTCACTGTTCACCTCAGCTGACTTTTCCCAGAGAGGCTCCCTACAGTTATGATTCATTTGGGCCATCACTTAAAATATTACTGCTCGCTTCCCTCTCTCTCTCTAAAAGACAATAAAGAAGAATTACTGGGTAAAACATGAAGTCTTTGTAGCACCTGGGTTTCAAATCAGAGGGATTCAAAGGAGGGGAAGGATAGTGAGCCCATATATTATAATATTCTACCCGATTCCTCAAAAACGTGATAACTGTTTCTTAAAAGCAACTGGAACTTCCCCAGCCCAGTCAGGCTGCAATGAACCAACTCCAGAAGCTGAGTTCAGCCCTTAAGCATTAAACCAAGAGATTTTTATCTACTTGTGAACAGACATCTATAACCACACAGCAACACCACACAGCCTGTGGATTTACCATCACCAGGAATTTACAGTAACTGCTTGGAAGAGTCGGACTGGGCAGGACAAGGTGTGTGACACCCGGGGCCTCCACAGCTCCACAGACCTCCTGGAGCCTCAGTGAAGGCTCCACAAAATGCCTTTGGAGCAGAGCAGTGAGGAAGAAAAGCAACAAATCAGGAAAGCTGCATCCCTGCAGGGATTTTAACTCTTGGCTAAAAACACATCTCCAGCGAGGGTTTAAATCAAGTTTTCTGAAAGCACCTGAGAATTATTTGAGTCACATCCTGAAAGCCAGCAGTGGCTGAGATCAATGCCAGCCATCCTGATTCACATCCTCTGGGAGAGAGACACATCCCTGGCACACAAGTTTTTAGTAGCAAGAACAATATCCAGGTACCACCTCAAGCTTGTGGCACAAGAATAAATGAAAAATAACTCTCAAAAGGTTACTTGTGGCTGCCCAGTGTGGCTCAGGGAGGGAGTCCAGATGCACATGGGTACCAGTGTGGCCCTCACCTGAGCCCACAGGCCATCTCCTGGGAGCTGCAGGGCACAGGCACAGCCTCTGCCCCAGGAGCAGCTCAGCCAGCAGCTCTTGGTGCCCTCACAGCTGCTGATGCACAGGGGGAAGGAGAAGGGAATGGTGGGCATTGGAACACAGAAACCTCAGTTATGTGCCTTGGAAAATGCAGGTTCCTGGTGAAATCCTGCCTTCCCCCACAGAACCATGGAATACCCTGAGCTGGAAGGGACCCACGAGGGTCACTGAGGATGCCCTTCAAGGACATGTATGACCAATTCCAGGTTACAAACATGATATCAAGGACCTGTTAGAACAAGACAGCAACAGGAGAGCTGCCCCCCAGAGCACTGCAGCACCTCTGGGGCTTTCAGAGCCCCCACCTGAGGACATGGATGGGTCTCTGCATGGGCACACTTCAGGAATCAGGATGGACAGGCAGTGTCAGGGCTCAGGCTCTGGCAGAACACACCTTGGCCAAACTGGTACTGATGGTCAGAGAAGTGCAGGACCTTGTTCAGCCAGGGTGTGATTCAAGGAAAGACATTTCTGAAGAACTGACCCCACCCCTGCTTGCCCAAAATACAGCTTTCACTGATAGCTGTGAGCTCACAGAGAGGACTCAGGGCAGTCACCATTCCCTCTCCCAGCCCTGAGCAGTTCCTTGCAGGACTAGTGAAGAACAGTCAAGCAGCTCTTGCAGAATAGTGCCTTTCACTGAGCACTTACATCAGTTTTGGACTTGCAGATCTCTTGCCTGTCCTTTAGCATCTTGTCAAGGACTCCACTCCTGCACCAGACATTAAATACAGTTTTCCCATGCTGATATCCCACTTCCTGGAAAAAAGAAAGAGTCAACAGAGAAAAAGTAATTAATAACTAAAAAAAAAAAAATCTATATATGTTATCATGTGCAAATAGCAGGGAATCCAGAGCTCTAGCCCAAAGCCAGGATGACTTCTGCTGCCTTCCAGCCTCAGCTACATAAACTCTCCAGCCTAAAACTGGGGGAATAATGAAGGAAACAAGGTTCTATTTTAAGTCCAAACACCAACTTCAGTATCCAGGGAAAAGTGCCACCTGATGCACTATTTTGACAGCACTGAATAATGCCACAGAAAGAGGAGTTTAGGATACTGAATATGCCCTTCCAGTCCTGGCTCTTTCTTTGGAAGAAGGTAACAACTCATATACATGTGTCTTCTTTCCTCTTGGCTCAAGAAGAGCCAAGGAAAAAAAAATTCTCTGCAAAGAAAAGCTACCATAGAGCCCTGGTTCCAAAATCTCTTGAAATAAGTTAAGCCAGACAGCACTGAACATGCTGGAGCAGTTTGCTGGAGCAGAAAGGATGGCAGGTGGACACCACCAAACCCACACACTCCACGTTCCTCTCGTGTAAAAGTATAAAGTAATTTGTGCTTGGAACAATAACATGGCACTGCCATTAGCAGGGAAACAACTGGAAGAAATAGACCCAACACTGCAAGTTTTACTCTTTTTCTCAAAAAGCAGCAGAAATGGTGTTGAAAAATCAAATGGAAAGGACAGAGCAACAGCTTTTGGGAGCCCTGGATCCCAACTCCTGGCAGCAGCACTAACCCTTGTGTGGCAGCTCTGAGTGTGGGAAGCAGCCCTGGCTGAGCTGGTGTTGTCTCTCCTCTGGCTTTTGGATGAGGGTTCAAAGCATGAGTGGCACTCAGGGTGGAATTCACCTCCTGTAATCCATCCCAGTTTCCCAGCCCAGAGTGGGTGTGATTACTCAGGAGAAGAAGGACCTGACAGCTCTGGGTCAGCCTGGTCCAAAATAACCACAAGAAGCTGAGCTTGGGGCTGACACAGGAGAGGGGTTTGACAAGAAAAGGGGATTTAGTTCCTCGGAACTAAACCATGGTCCTATTTCTGTTTTCTGTAAAATCCAGGCACAAGGCTGAAATTAAAACTCCCCCTACTTCCCAGCCCATAAGGATGAAGGAATGTCTGGATTGCCCCTTCCTTTAAGGTCAGCACAGTTTAAAGTTCCCTTGTGGACAGAAGTTATTTAGCTCCAGGAGCCAGGAGGGTGCTGCCTCTCCATCCCTGCGGTGTCTGGTGCCAAGAACTGGCTCACAGACAGTGACATATTTGAGTTACTGCACTTTTTCAAGTTTTATTCCACTGACTACATTTGCCTGGTGTCTTTACATCTCTTTAACACCACCACATTAGACAGAACAGGGATGTGACAGCTCACAATGTGTTACTGTGATGAACTACCAGACCTGTCTGTCAGGGTTTTCAGATCAGCCAGGGCACTCCAGAGCAAAGAACATTATTTATCAGCAAAGTCTTAGAGCCATTGGCAGCCAGCAGTGTTTGCCCAGGAGCCAAGAGACATCAAATAGCCTAGAGAAAATATTTGTAGTGGGGAAATCAGCTGGTGGTTTGGAACAGCTGCTGTGTGTCCTAAGGACTCTCCCAAATGTGAGTCTGCAGGGCTAAACTGTGTTCCTGGGTTTGATCAGTGTTTATAAGCCAGAAAAATCAATCTGCAGCCTAAGGAACATCCCAGCTTCTCACTAAGCTATAAAGGAGACTGACTTAAAGAAGAAGTGGTGGGTTTCCTGCCTGGGAGAAGAGCAAAGCTCTGCAGATACACCTGGAGGTGGAAGATGCCTGCATGGTTAAAGCAGGCAAAGAATGGGAAGAGGCAGTAAAATCCCTTCCACACAGAGCCAGAATCGCTGCTTCCACCTGGGCAGGGACATTTCTGTTGGGATTGTTGGATTCTGTCACCAAGACAATTCCCTGCACACCTGGAGTCAGCTCTGCCCACGCTGGGTTCTGACACTCAAACAAACACAACCCCATCCCTGGGGCAGCTGCACAACCTGGTGGCACCTTTTTCACACCAGTCACTGACATTGGTGCCATCTCCTGACCCTCTGTCGGGTGCAGAGGAATTGTGGATGATGTTTTATTAGCAGAAGCGTTGAAATGTTTAACAGAGCCGGGTATTTTCACACTTCCCCCAATCTCTGGGATTCATGACCTCCCCAAGAGGCTTCTGTGAATCCTTCACGCAACAACAAGGGGAGACAAACCCCACGAGCCCAGAACAGCTCAGAAAACCCCAAGCTCAGACACCCAAGAGCTTTTCCCCGAGCAGCTGAGCAGGAATTGCCACGGAACAGAGCGAGGCAACTGATCCCTTCACAGGCCATTACATAATCGAGATCCAAACTCAATTTGTGCCGCTAATCCAATCTCCCGGCCGGGATATCATTCCACAGCTTTATTCGGTGTCAATTATTCACTCTGTGCCAACTACTCCCCCCAGCCCTGGCAGTAATTAGCAGCAGGAGCAGGGGCAGGGGGCACTCACACAGATCTCGTCGAACTTGCCGAAGTCCAGGGTGCCGTAGCGGTCGATGGGGGGCCGGATGTACTCGCAGTAGTCGCTGTTCTTCACCATCTCCAGCTGCCTCACGCAGCACACGTAGGCCAGGCGCGTCTGGATCTCGGCCATGTTCAGCACCTGCACACCAGACACACCAGCCATGAGGAACTGAGGACCAGG